GCAAGCTGGTTGTAGCCACTCTGGAATACAGTATGGGGGGGTCCTCAAAAAGTTGAAAATAGAGCTACCCTATGACCTAGCAATTGCACTACTAGGTATCTACCCCAAGGATACAAATGTAGTGATCTGAAGGGGCACCTACACCCCAATGTTTATAGCAGCAATGTCAACAATAGACGAATTATGGAAAGAGCCCAGATGTCCATCAACAGATGAATGGATAAAGATGTGATATATATATATACACAGACACACACACGCACACACACACACAGTGGAATACTACTCAGCCATCAGAAAAATGAAATCTTGCCATTTGTAACGATGTAGATGGAACTAGAGGATAAGCAAAATAAGTCAGAGAAAAGCAATTATCATATGATCTCTCTCATATGGGGAATTTAAGAAACAAAAGCAGAAGATCATAGGGGAAGGGAGGGAAAAATAAAACAAGATGAAATCAGGGAGGGAGGCAAACCATAATCATAAACTCTTAATCATAGGAAACAAAGGAAGGGTTGCTGGAGTGGAGGGGGCTTGGGGGATGGGGTAACTGGGTGATGGACATTAAGGAGTGAAGGGGTTTAGTGAGCACTGGATGTTATATAAGACTGTTGAATCACTGAACTCTACCTCTGAAACTAATAATATATGTTAATTGATTGAATTTAAATTAAAAATTTTTTTAAAAGACTGGAAAATGCTATCAAATTTGAGTGGGAAGGGATTTTAAATAATAACTCTACATATAGTTAATCTATCAATCAAATTTGACAAAATAAATACATTTTCAAGATATAAGGACAAAGAAGATTTACAGATCATCCCTACCCACTATGAATAAATGATGCTTGGAATATTACAAAATAAGAAAAAAATGTGAGAGAAATAATACCATAAGACAAGAAGCATCCCAGTATCACAAGAAAGGATTGTGTACTGCATACTGCTAGCCTGGGAAAAGATCAAAATTCAAGATTTGATGTATAGTTTCTCCTGAACACGTATCGCTTTCACACCATCCTAAAGGCAAAAAGTCATAAGTTGGAACCATTGCACACTTTTGGTGAGACAGTTATCTCTCAAGTTGTATCATTTTTTTTCAGTTCTTAACTGTCAGTTAATCACGGATGCTTTATGGATTGTACCTGCAGGACATATACGAAAGTGGCTTTTGCTATTTTTACCCCCATAGGACATTTGTTTGGCTTCTGTCCCTTAAATGTTGCCAAGACATACTTTGATGCTTTCCTTTTTAATGATTCAGTTGTTGAAATCATAATTTGGCATGTAAATATTATTTGTGGAGCCAACATAGAAAGCTGTCTCCCTCCCTTTATGACATCATTTTAACGCTGATAGATTAATATTTTATCTACTATAATAATGAACCTCATTTACAGATGACATAAAATTCTGGTAAATGATTATGTTGTTCACAGATTTTTAAGAGTTTGTCCACAAACTAGACAAAAAACTGAAACTTTGATATTGTAGAAAACTGTGTTATATATTACTTTTGAATTTAAAATACTCCGCCCATATGGAAAAGCAGTCAGCATTTTCCCATCTACTTCTAAACATACTAACACTGAGGATGGAAACATGGTGAAATTAAAACAGTAAGGTGAGAGAAGGTGTTTGATTTAGTTAAAGATTTGGTGTTTGATTTAGTTAAAACTATACCAGTTAGGTGACAAAATACCTGGATGATCAATTTTTTTTAATAGTAATTTGAACAGATACATTGGCATTTTAAAAACTAAGGTAGAGAGGCTTATGGCACCAGTGAAAACTTTAATAAATTTTTTTTTTTTTGACAAGCAAAACTCTGGTTAGGCAGGTAAAATTTTTTCTGTTCTCACTAAGGGAATCCTAAATCGGAATCAGAGCAATGGGCCTACCAAGTTTATATTCTATCTGCTATAGACAAAATACTCTCTTCCAAAGACTGTGACTGACTTTACTACCTACCAGTACAAATCTCTGGCAATAAATATTTGTGTCTAAGCATATGGACCTAAACCGTAAATAAAATCTTAATAAATGGGAAAGCTGTTGAAAGCACTTTGAGAGTTCAGATTGAAGCACTGGGAGGAGATGGTGTTGTATGGCCTGTTTAGTTGGTGTTTTGCAGAAGCCTTTTAGTGACGCCCAATTAATGGAAGATGAGGTGCATATCTCTATCTCAGCAATGAAGTTAATAAAATGTACAGCACAAAAATCATTTAACACATACTATCCTCAGGAGTATAAGAGTCAAAAACTATGTGGATGGCAACTCTTACAACTCAGTCCTTCAACATGGATGGTAACAAGAGGATAGAGGAGATGTTGATTTCTCTGTTTCACTAGGGGCTGTGTGAGGTAGTGCACAGGCTAGTAGTTCACTGAGTCTTCCAGGACCTCAGAGAAGAGACAGCTCATTTTCAACTTGGCATCATTAAAAGAAAGAAGAATTCACGGAAACTTTGGGCCTTGAGAGTGGAGTGTCCTAGATTCTGTGGGTTTTTCTCTTCTCTCTCTGGTTGTGCCTTTTTAGTCTAGTTTGGCAGTTCCTCCTTTTTCATGTAGCTGTTAGATGGTGGCGTTCCTTAAAGCTCTCACTCTTCTTACTGCTTTCTCCCTAACTGATCTAATCAATGTCTATAGCTTTCATTACCTTCTCTGCACTTAATGACATTCAGATGTGCATCTCCAGATTCAGACTCCCATCAGATTCAACTGCCTCGACTCAGATATCTCCAAGGTGCTTCTGTGGAACATCTCCAAGATTGAATATATGATCATTCCTTCCAAGCCTGGAGTTCACTAGTATTTTCTGGCTTAGAAAATGGCACCACTATCCAATCAGCTGTTCAAGCCAAAAAGCACAGAATCATCCTTGGCTTCTCTACCTTATTCTTGCCCCATATCCAATTTACCATAAAATTGTGTTCATTTTACCTCTAAAGAAACTCTAGAATCTTCATATCGACTGTCATAGCCTTGGTCTACTATGGTAGCCTCATGGGCGATTTCAACAAACTGTAATACTCACCCTTAACAATCCTCTATTAGTTCTCTACAATGAACCCAAAGTAAATTTGTTTTTCAAAATACACTCTGAAGTAAAAGAAGCCAAACTGAAAAGACTAGATACTGTATGATTCCAGCATTCTGAAAAAGGACTTTGGAGACTCTGAGAAGATCATGTTTGCCAAGGGCTAGCAGGAAGTAAGAATAAATAAGCAGAGCATAGGAGATTTTTTAGGGCAGGGAAACTATTCTGTGAAATGCAATATAATGGTGGACATACATCATGAAACCCACAGAATGTATAACACCAAGCGTGAACTCTAACGTAAACTATGGCCTAAGGTGAGACTGATGTGTTGATGTTGGTTCATCAGTTCTAACAAATATACCACTCTGGTGAGGGATTTTGAGAGTGGGGGAGGCTGCGCATATATGGAAGCAGGACATATATGACAAATCTCTGTGCTTTCCACTCAATTTCGCTGTGAATCTAAAACTACTCTAAAAAATAAAGTCTATTAAAAAAAATCTTGTCTCTCCTCCTCAACTCCCAAAAATGCTTTATTGCCTTTCCAGTGTTACTAAAACAAATTGGAAGTCCTTAGCTCAGCCCCTCTTTAACTCTGCACGTTCATCTCTTCTTGCTCCTTTCTGAAAGTCTTGCTCTCTGCTTTCCCTCCATATTAATCTCTTTCAGGTTTGAATGGTTTGTGCCAAGTCCTTCCTCAGGGCTTTGCCCCGCCTCTCCATCTTGCCTAATCAGTGACTACTCATCCTGTAAACCTAAACCTGAACTCATTGTCATTTCCTGAAGGCTTCTCTGAGACCGGTATTTATCCTCCTGCTTTTGCCATATATTTCCTATAAAAACCCAAGTTTTTTTGGCTGCTTCTGCTATGGCTTTCATATAAAAACCAGGCTAGCTCTCCAGAGCCCTTATCACTTGTATATTTAAACATTCATAATAATAAGTACTCGTGATTGTTTATGAATATTGCCCTCATCCGTTAGACTGTAAGCAGCCTGAGATGGTGCTCCACCTGTTTTTGCTCACCACTGGGCCTAGGGCAGTGGTTGGAACAGAGAAGGATTTAGTAACTGTTGAAAGAATGGGAAGTGCCAAACGAGCTGTTGGTATATTGCCCTCTGTTTTCTCTAGCTATTAGAGATTTGCAGTCCCTGAAAGACCCATCACTCTCTCAGAAGAGGATATTTTGAACAATCATTTTTAAAAGTACCATCACGGTAGAAATGCTTTTTTAACCCTAAGCTTCTGTATTTCATGTGGTTACTCTGTGGGTTCTTGTGATTCCAGATAGATAGCTGCTTTTTTCTTTAAGATATTTAGAGCTCAGGGTAAGCAGTATGAAAATGATTCCTCAACAGGAGTGATTATCTGATGTCAGGGCTTCATGCCACGCCCAGCCTTTTCTTTCAAGTCGGAAAATCCTCTCTGGATGGGTGGTCACTCAACAAAAGAAATGCTCTGTTCATTGCTCAGTAACAGATACAGAAATAAAATCACCGTTTAGTCATGGGGCTGCCTTGGATTTCTCTGGAGAGTCCGCTTATGGTAGCCCACCTAAAGCCAAATCACCATGAGGTCATCTGTTTTCGGATGCCCACTGCAATTTGTTCCCATGTGGTATCTGCTGCATATTTGCCCCAACTTCATTAATAAGCAAGCGAGACAAAGAAACAGTTCCCTTACTTTCCAGGTAAGCAAAGCAATTTGTCTTAATTATGGTTAGCCTTTACTGAGTGACTACCACGGGGGTCCTAACAATTCTCTCACCCCAGTTAGAATGGTAGGAATTGTGAATCAGTAATTTCCACACAGACAGCTATAGGTTTTAGGTTTTCGATTCTCCGACATGTACTTTTTTCCCAATTGAAATACATACAAAAATACGTGTGTGTGTATATACATTCTTATATATGTACACATATATTTTCTAAATGGATGCTTTTCCTTCTTACAGTCAGTCCTTTCCCATGGTACTGTGGCCGACTGTGCTGTTGTCGGCAAGGAAGATCCTTTGAAAGGTCACGTGCCCTTAGCGCTCTGTGTGTTGAGAAAAGGTGAGAAATCTTTGTCCTCCCTGAGTGTTTGGGCCCTGAATGATTAACGAAGGTTAATTCAGTGCTTATCATCTGGACTTTCTCCCTAGATATAAATACAACAGAGAAACAAGTTTTGGAAGAGATTATAAACCATGTGAGACAGAGCATTGGCCCTGTGGCTGCAATTCGAAATGTAGTGTTTGTCAAACAGTTACCCAAAACGAGGTCTGGCAAAATTCCTCGGTCGGCTCTGTCAGCCCTTGTCAACGGCAAGCCCTATAAGGTAAATTATCAAGAATGTTTAATGCCAGGTTCTGAAAAGTTTCTTCCCCACCTCTTTGGCATTAACATTTTTTTTTAATGTTAAGGGGGAAACTGCATAGCCACTCTCTAGGAATTAGGGTTGTGGAAACACAGATTAATTAACACCATATGCTTCGAGATTATAGGTACCAGTGTGTGGAAATACTTTTACTATTAGTAAATACGTCAAATTCCAGCAACTTGTGGGAACGCAATCTTACTGAATTAAAGACACAACTTCCTTCATTGTAGTCATTAATGTCTATTACTGAATGAGAAAGCAAACACTTGAGGCTGGTTATACATGCTTAAGCAGTTCTAACTGGTGCATATGCTAATTATGTCTCCTGTTTTGAGTGAAAATTATTTTGGCAAACATTAGGCTAATTCAAGTATATATATTCTTTGAATTTTTGTGCACTTTATATGTGCATAGATATACATGTCTTTAATCCTCAACAGCTAACAGAAAGTGATGCAGCAGTAAATAGTAGTTGTAAATACAAATATATATATATATATACATATATATGTACATATATATATTTCTAGAGAGGCACATAGAAAGGCTCATTAGAGGGATTCTAGAGAAATTCCACTTAGGACCTATAGTTTTGCTAACTGAACAGTTTATTACTCTGGAAGACTATATATACATTTTAAAATATTAAATTTGGAGTCCCCTTTTTTGAACATTTCTATATGCCTTTATAAGAAAATGGAGAATGCAGTATTGCAGGTAATTGTTTAATTATAGGGAGAGGGGAAAAGGGTTCAAGGAAGAGCATTCATCTGACTTGTATTTTCTTTCCAGATAACACCTACAATCGAAGACCCCAGCATTTTTGGGCACATAGAAGAAGTGCTGAAGCAGTCATCATGACTTTTTCCCCTATTTTGAGTCAATTTGAATCAATTTTCTAATTGGAGTCAAATTTCTGGAATTATTTCCCATAAATAAATATTTAAATAGAAATTACTTGCAAACTGAAATATGAATTGTAAAGCTTGGTCTAAAAACAGTACTTGAAGCCTAGTGAAAGACCTGTGCCTTCTGTTTGATTAGATCCAAAGAGCAGCTTTTTCAGTTGCCTATAACATGGCTCCTTAAAGGTTGTCTAGCACTTAAAGAAAAATATATCTACCGTATGATTTTTAAAAAATTGAACCCCCCAAATATTTTAATTGAAAGAGACACATTAATATAGAGCTACTTCCTGAAATGAGGAATCTGTAGCTTTGACCCAAAACCTAAAACTCAAGTTGAAGTCAGAAAATATTTATCATTTTTCTTAACAGAAATTCTGAGTATTTTCTAATATTCTTGAGATGTCCCCATGCCCGGTTATTTTAAATGAAATCGGTAACATGGGAGGTCTTAGGTAATCATCTAGACAGATGATTTTCTAGATAGGAGGATCTGTCTCGTCATACATTTCCTGAGGGAAGGTTGGATACCAGAGTACAGCTCTGCCTTCAGGCCATTTTTAGTCAAGGGAAATCACATGCCTGACAGATCCTAGAGGTCATTTAATCCGATCTCTTTGTCATGGAGATGAGAGCTGTTTGGAGTTCCTCCTCCCGTCTCAGGTTCTTAGTAGACTGTACACTTAATGATTCCAGCTTCCTATCAAAACAAGCAAATGACACAGAAATGGGGTAAACTGACAAGGAAAGTTCTTAAGGAAGAAATGTAAAAGTTTTTACATTATGCTAAAGACCAGGAATTTTTAAGAAACCCCAAATCCAGATTTTTATTGAAATCTCTAATTTTTAAATAATAACTCACTAAAAAATAATATTGTGACCTCCAAACACATCTTTCCATTTGAATTTATAGAAAAGTATTGAGAAATTAAGAAAAGTAATTGAAAATGAGTTTTTGTTGCTAAGCTTATGATAATGTGCCAGTTAAAGCCACAGTAGCTTGATATAGTTAAATATGTGATTTACTTAGGATTACTTAGGATTCTACCTGATATCAGTTATCAAATAATACATTTAAAGTAAAAAAAATATACCATGCCCATTGAGTCTTTGATGGTGCTCGAAGTATTTCCCAGTCTTTCAGTCCCCATCAGGAACATTATTTTTAAGAGTAGCTGTCCTAACGTAATAGTCTGGGCACGAAATATTTGTGAGAGGTAACACGTAAGAGCTTATTTACTTGTTTCATAAAAATTACTTACAACCAGTGTAAGACATTCTGAAAATGATAGCTTTTTTTTTGGACCATAGGCTGTATAAATAAATGGCTTCTCAAAGGAAAGTCCTGTTTGCTTAAATCAGCTTCTTGGTTGTTTATACCTGAAAAAATATAGTCAGCTATGTTCTCTTTAGTTTTTTTAGTAGCCTGAATTAAACCAACTAGATAGGCATTCAACTTATAATTTGAAGCTGCCGGGTTCCTTAAAGTGTCTTTTCTCTTGGGTACATTTTACTCATAATCACAACTGTAATCTTAACAAATAATACACTTTTAATGTTTAAAATGTATTACCTTATTTTTTCAGATAAGATTCAGTTAATTTGAAATGGCACATTCTTTAGCTCAATGCATATCATCATTCATTTGCAAGGTGTAAACAAAGGCATGTGTGAAGGGTACATCTGTGGGATCTCTTGCACATTTGTCCTGCAATCAATTCTGAAGGGGCACATTAGCAATCAGGCTTGAGTTATTTTCCAGTTGAGTGGGATTGTAAAACGGTGCATGAGGCTGGAGAAGTACTGTTACTTTCACTGATGAAAAGTGGGGCAAGAAAGATAAACTTGAGTCGTCGATTGCCTAAAATTTGGGAGGAAAAGAAAAGGAATTTTCTATTTCATACTTACCATAAAGCACTTTCACTAGATTGTACCTAAAATATTCTGGATCAAATGTATCTTTAAAAATAACAATATAATGTTACTAAAAATACAGTCATATTTAAGTGTGCTGAAATAAAGTCCGCATGGCCTTCTTTTGATATCTCCATGGAAATTTTTACTGTAAGACATTGGAAAAATTTAAATATGTTCTTTTAAAATCTATGGAAAAGTGTTTTCCAATTGAGTTATTTTGTTCAAGACAATACATTAAATATATAAAAATTAGACCTGCTTTACATTTCAAGAGCACTTTTATTTATATAAAATTGTATTTGAGAACAGGCTCTCATTACAAATGTGAAAATTCATAAAGCTGATAGATGGCCAGAAGGAAAACTATTGAGATTCTGAGCTTAAATCCAAATTAAATGTAGTTTAGAATCTGGCAGAAATTATATCATACGTTGAAGAGTATTTTATACTTTTTTTGAAGGAACAGGTAGATCTTTTTATCGCTCTACGTTAAGAGTCTATTATAAACGATTACTATTTCTTACCAGATGATCTCTAAAGGGGAGAAACTGATTATGTGATTAAGTCATGTATTGAGAGTAGATACAAATCGTTTGTTATTATAATATCATAGTTCCTATATTACATTTCATTTCCTTAAGTCAGAATCCCCACGATCAGATGAGCTTAGAAAGCTCTTTCCCATTGTTTCTGCTCAGGCAACATTTCTGGAAAATTTAAAATCACCTTCATAAGCAAGTTTAGAGCTCCCTCATGTGGCAGACTCACTAATGAAGATATTAGATTGAGAATCACTAAAAGGACAATTTGCATTGTGGTTCAAGTAAATTGTTAAACATTAGGTGACTAGAAAACAAAGATTAAACAGAGAACTGGAAGTATTTTTTTTTTTATTGACAATGGAAAGGGTTTCTGTTACCATTACCTTTTGACTGAATCTGTTAAACAAAAACAGACATCAAAACAAATGTAATGTACGTGCAAACATAGCAAATTAAATGCAAAAAGGAAATTACTAATGACAGGTCTTGCGCTTCATAAGATCAAGCAGCAGAAAATCAGCAGTTAGATAAATGGTATTATTAAATAGGTTTTTACTTTGAAATCTCCCATATAAACAAAGAATAAACAACAGTAACACCACCAAATAAAGCCACAGGGAAGAGATTACTCTTCTGTACTTTTATACACTATATATGTTAATCATTCTGTCTTTCATTTATTTCCTCTGATAAAACTGACTTCAGGGAAGTCGCAACAAGGCCATCTTGGCTAGAAACTTATAACATTATACATGAGTCTGACTAATGCCCTGTTACATTGACAAAAGGGAAAGGTTTCTGGATTTTGTTTTGTTTTGTTTTTTCAATGGAAATGAGCCTCAGACTCCGTAGTGGTTGACATTCACTGAACAGTGCTGGCTGGCGGTTCAAGATCTGATGAACATGTGGTTCTTAGTAAAGAAGTTTTTTTTCTTTTTTTCCTTGGTCCACAGGTAACAAGAGAAGATAATATTTATTCCTTATAAATTTTTTTAAATAATTGCTTTCGACTCTTGTAAACAGTTTAGCTCTGTTTTGTATTGAAAAGGAGATCGAGCCATCACAGTGCTATTTCTAAAGATTTAGGACATCCCTGATTGCCTTTAAAGGACTATTTTTGGCTCCAGTTCCAGGTTAAATCATTCCTTTTTACATGATCAGAGGCAGGTTTTCAGCTTTAAGTATTGACAGACTTGAAGGAGAAACATATCGATTTGACTGTTACAATTCAAAAACTGTAAAAATGGTGGGATGGTAAAATACAAACAGTACTTGGAATTGTCAAATGTTTGCACTCGAGACTCCATGAACCATATATTTTATTTTTTTAAAAATCATATTTATATCCATTTACATAAGACACATTTAAAAAGAAATACATACACAGTAATACATAAATGCGTAGTATATTACAATAAAACATGAAAAAACAAGTGGCTCCATTTCATAAAAGCATCAGTTGTACAGAATTATGATGTGGATGATGCTTATTATTCAAATGACTGAAGCATTTTCTTACAACTGTAGTAAACTAATCAAACTTAGTATCTGACTCCCCCCAGGTCACATTTTCAGCTCAATAAGCCATTACTTGTGGTTGTGTCCTTAGAATTCAGTCTTCACAAAGGTTTTCACTGTTTGTCTTCTGAGATGGTAGTGCACTTTAGGTAGAGTAGACGGAAAAGACATCTAAAATAGTTAATGCACAGCGTTAGTCTACCCACAGCTCCCAGCCTGGGCAATGCCCCTCTGCCACTGTCGGTGATCTCCGTGCAGCCTGCCTGCGTCTGCCCTGGGAGCCTGTGCCCAGAATGTCAGCTAGGATCTGACTGAGAGTTGTAGGTAATTAACATTTGCTCTTCTCCGATTTTGTGCAGGCCAACTTAATAAGTAACAAGATTTGCTCAAGTTTGTGGAAAGCATGGCGGTAAATAGAAACAAAGATATTCACAGAAAATGTGAGCAGTACTTTTGAAAAATTTAGAGCTTGCTCATCAATAAATTTGGTTGAGTTGACCTATTCCATGAAAGAGAGTCATATTCTAGTTCATATCTTCTAGAGCTCTTAAAAAGACACCTTTGTTTAACTGTGACAAAAACATAATGGTAATAAATGACATATTTTAAAGGATCTGGATCAGTGATGTGGCATCACTGATTCTTTCCTGTGATAATATACTTAGGAAAAGCTCACAGTTTCTCTTTCCGACACAAATGAAACAATAAATGATATGTTCTGAATTCTTTTAATAACAAAAGTGCTAATAGAAATTGGTTGTCCTAGATTAGATTATTGTAAATAAATACCTTTATCCCATTTAATGGTAAAAACTGGGAAATGTGAACTAGAATGCCATGCACAAAATACAGACTGCAAATAGTTAAAGAGTAATTCTACCCATCAGTCAGGAACTAAGAAGCAAGCACTACTCAACATATTAAATAGTCATTTGTAAATTAGTGAAGTATTCATTTCCTGGGGAAATTATCATGTAGAAGCTATTACAAACAGTATTTTGGAAAGCCTCTTATTTAGCCGAATCATTATATACTTTAGATCATGCCTAATTAGATGCCAAATTGTATACCATAATTAAATTTTTAATG